CTCACAATCTTTGCTATACCTGAGCCCATCATTGTGGTCATTGTGTCAGTCCATCTTATTGAGGGCCTTCCCCTTTTTCGTTGACCCTCTACTCTACCAAGCATATCTTTCTTCAGGGAATGGTTCCTTCTAACAACATGAGCAAAGTAGGTGAGATGAAGTCTGGCCATTCTTGCTTCCAAGAAGCATTCCAGCTGCACTTCTTCCAGGACAGATTTGTTTGTTCTTTTGGCAGTCCATGGTACTTTCAGTGTTCTTCACCAACACAAAATCACACCAATATACTAGAACTAAAATTCCAAAAAAAAAAAAAATACACTGATGTATCTAGTTCTAAAAGCTTTTTAGGAGAGAAACTTTTTCTAGTTCTCAATCTGAGAAGACCTTGCCTTAGGAACCTTAACATAAAGAGCACAACATCACAGAAGGATGATGAGCAGAATCTTTAACAGCAACTTTGCAGAAGATAGAGGAACATTGTTCGTGTTGCTCTTTCTTGTGCTGACACACCCCCCCTCCCCAAGTAAAAACATTTTTGTGGGAAAGTAAACAAATGGTATGGTACTTTCTGGTGATCCAACTATACAGTGTTAGAGCGTAAAAAAAATGTAGAATATATGGTTAGTATTAAACTGTCTTTTTCTGTTATCTCCCCTGCACTTTGACATAGGCCTGAATGGCAGTTGTTGAGACTGAATACTTTGGCTAGTTCTTAGAGTGGAGATAGTACTATAATCCTGTATTGTTGATTGAAACTATAGGCCCCAGGCTACAGTGATACTTAGGATCAGGACTGTAATTTTCCTCAATCAAATATCTGTCTAAAATGTTGTTGTTGTTAGGTGCTGTTGAGTTGCTTCTTACTTATAGCGACAAAATGAAACATTCATACACCCAAACGAAACACTGCCTGGTCCTACACCATCCTCACAATCATTGCTATGCTTGAACCCATTGTTGTAGCTACAGGGTCAATCTGTCTCATTGAGGGTCTTCCTCTTTTTCACTGACCCTCTACTTTGCTAAGCATGATGTCCTTCTCCAGGGACTGGTCCCTCTTGACAGCATGACCAAAGTAGAAGAGACAAAAGTCTCCACGTCCTCACTTTAAGGAACATTCTGGCTACTTCATCCAAGACAGATTAGTTTGTTCTTCTGGTAGTCTATGGTATATTCAATATTCTTCACCAAGACCATAATTCAAATGCATCAATTCTTCTGTGGTCTTCCCTATTTATTGTCCAGCTTTTGCATGCATATGAGGCAACTGAAAAGACCATGGTTTAGGTTAGGTGCACCTCAGTCTTCTAAGTCTAAAATGGTTGAATATAATAGTCTTTTTTTTTTTGAGAAAAATTATGATCTTGTTGGATCATTCTGGACCTAGAAGCTTTAAGGGAATGTTTACCATTCCAATTCCTAGGGTACAGAGATCTTGGCTGCAATTTCAAGGAGAATGTTTTGTTGTTTTTTGGATTTCCTGAAATCCTTTTGGCTTTGAACTAGTACTACATTTCATTCAATGATAATATGGGAACATGACCACATTTGCTCAAAATTGTCCAGAACGGTTTCTCCTTTCATAAGAGAACATGCATTCATTGTTCACCAGAGATTTATTGAGCAACCTTCATGTATAAGATACTGTGTCAGGTGCTAAGTGGGTTCAATTCCAGACCTTAAGGGCAGTTAGGGGCCATAGTCTCAGTGGTTCCATCAGACTCTATCAGACCAGCAAACCTGATCCCCACCCCCCGCTTTTCTTAAAATGCTTTTGAGTTTGTTCCACATTCAAATTTACTACATTTTTAATGACTGTAATAGTACATCAATTTGGATAAATTACAGTTTACAACACTTCCCCTTTTGCTGGCCTTTAAGTTGTTTTGTTTTATTGTTAGTATAAAAATACCACAATGAATCTATAGTATACTCTTCGTTGAAATTTTTGTTGACTGGGCAATCTATTCAATAGAGATGCTGTCTCAGGAACCCAAGGACGGGTCTCTATGAGTCAGGACTGACTCCATGGCAGTGAGTTTGATTTGGTTATTATATTAAAAAAAAATAAAGAATAGAAAATAATATAATGAACCCACATCATAGGATTCAGCAGTTAATCAACCTGTGATCTGTTTTGTTCATCTGTAGTCCTACATTTTTTTCTCTTTGTAGGATTATTTTAAAGTCAGTCCTAGATAAAATACAATGTCACTTGAAAATACTTCATTTCTTCAGTATGTGATAAAAAATAAAAATATCAGCAAAACCATTACCACATCTTAGAAAAGAAACACCAGTGTTCAGATTTCCCTGTTAGACTCATAAACCATTTTCAATGGTTTTAAATGTTTGTTTTTACCTCTCAGTGCCTAGTATGCATTTCCAAGGGTCCAGGGTAGTCTCAAGAAATTTAATATCTACTTACAATATCAAAATGCATTACTCCTCCCCCCCCCCCATGCCCGGCTTAAAATGACATGAATTTGTTCTCTTACAGTTCAGAAGTCAGAAGTCCGAAATGGATCTTACTGGGGTACAGTTAAGGTATTATGTGGGAGGCATTCCTCCTGGAGGCTTTAAGGGAAAATCCATTTCTTTGCGTTTTCCAGCTTCCAGAGGCTACCTGCATTCTTTGGCTCATAGTCCCTTCCATCTTCAAAGCCAGCAAAGACTTTTTGAGTCTTTTTTTCTTTCAGCTTTATTGAGATATAATTAATTCATATAACATACAATTCACCTATTTAAAATATATATGTTGCTCTTTCTGCTGCCATCTTGGTTGCATATTACCTGTACAAAATGCCCGGTAAAGCCACAGAAACCGTCCCCACTACAGAGCAGGTGTTGCCACACAGCCCAGGCTGAGATAGGTCTGGAATAGAATCTGACAGTGATGAATCAGCATCAACCAGAGCTCTAGGAACAGAATTCCACACAGACAACCACACAACAAGCCCAGCTGGCACAGCAGCTGAAATCGATGAAGAACCAGTCAGTTAAGCAAAACAGAGTCAGGAGTGAAGAGAAGGCACAGAAGGCTATGTCCAAATTGGATGTCTGACAACTCACAAGTTACTAGAGTCACACTATCCAGAAACCTAAGAATATCCTCCTTGTCATCACAAAGCCAGATGTCTACAAAATCCCAGCTTTAGGCATCATCATAGTTTTTTGGGAAGCCAAGATCGAGGGTTTGTCTCAGCAAGCACAGCTAGCAGCTACTGAGAAATTGAAAGTTCAATGTGAAGTTGTCTTGAACATTCAAGAAAACATAAAAATTTCTGTTGTGCAAGAGGAGAGTGAAGAGGAAGAGGTTGATAGAACAAGTATGGAAGTTAAGGACATAGTATTGGTTGTGTCACAAGCAGCTGTGTCACGGGCAAAGGCAGTCAGCCCTGAAGGACAACAACAATTAATTAATTAATTAATTAATTAAACAACACTTACTAATTTTGTATTCTAAATGCTGTTGTTGAATTAACAATGTAACTGTCTGAAAATGGGACCTTTGGTGTTTCAAAAAAGAAACTGCCATTTGGTTTGAAATTAGTACTGTTTCCATTATTAATAAAGTTATGGTTTATTGGGGAAAAAAGATACAGTACACAGTGTTGTTAGTATGTTCACAGAGTTGTCCATCCATCAGCACAATCAGTTTTTGAACATTTCCCCCAAAAGAAACCTTGTACCTGTTACCAGTCACTCCATTTTCTCCTACCTACTGCAGCTCTAGACAGCCAACTTTTTGTCTCTATGCATCTATCTGCCTATTGTATTAGAGCTAAATTCTAAAGCATTTGGTTTGTGGAAGGCTGTGGTCTATAGTGAGAGCTGAACTTCATTTGGAGGCTTAACATAAGTTTCAGACACCATTTGAGTTCTTCCTGAACTTTAAACCAACATTGTGGCTATGCATAGACAAGTTCCAGGACAAACCTTGGGAGGGGCAGTTTGCCTGAGGAGGAGTGTGGGTGAAAGGAGATGATGGTCACCTAAAGAACTAGGGAACTTACAGGAGAGTGTCCTTCTCTAATCTGAATTACTCTTGGGGTCCTGGTATTGTTTTGTAGCCACTTTATGGCTATGACTCAGCCCCATGTGACCAGAATGTGGAAATTAGTGAACAGTATCATTAATATCATGCTGGGTGGGTTCCAACAGGCAGCCTTGCTGAGTGCAGACTCATGCCACCCAGGGACCTTATGAACATACTTGTTGTTTCTCTTTGTGATGTTAAGCTTGATCAGTGGGTTCAGGTGTGGTTGATGATCCATCATTTATAAGCTTCCCCTTTATAGAGATACCTTTATATTTTTCCCCTGGGCTTTTGCCTAAGTTTTAGCAGCCATTGGTGATCATTGCCTACATCCAATATTTCATTACAAAAAAAAAATTAGGGGTTGAAAAATGGTGATACTGCTATAATTTCTTATGCACTTATTAGTTGGAATTCTGTGAAGAAGAAATTCCCTTCATCAGCTATTTGGTTATGTATCTGAATTCTTAGTTTTTTCCTTAGAATGGTTCCTAGAAATCAAATTCCTTGGGCAGAGAGTTTCTATTCTTAAAGGCTTTTATAAATGTTGAGAAATTGTTCTTAAAGATGTGATACCTATTTACATCTCTACCATTAGTGTGTGAGTGGCATTAGTGTTTCCATTGAAAACAATGGAATAAGACCTGAGAGAGGAGCCAACCCAGTAAATGTGCTTGTCAATCAAAACTGTCACCCCCTTGACTTTCTCTGTAAGCTACTGATCATAAACCGGTATTGGTATAAATACAGTGTGACTTTGGAAATACTTTCTGTGTTTTCTAGGTTGTCTGACTTGAACATTTATTAATTTTGAAATTAGAAGGACAATTAGGATAATTTTTTTTAAAAAAGTCACTTTTGTAATTTTACTGCTCTTATTTTAACCATGTTTCAAAATATAATAACCCTCTTAGCTTGAACAGTTATACAAATCTAATTTTTTTTTTTTTCTCCTTTGCAGTGACATTACTAAGGGCAAACCTCTGGAAGCAGAGATGGCAGGGATAGAATACATGAATGATGATCCTGGCATGGTCGATGTTCTTTATGCCAAAGTCCATATGAAAGATGGCTCCAACAGGTGTGTTTCTGGATTCCTTGTTTTGATCGAGAGATGCCCCAAAGCATCTCTCAGTATTTGATTAGTTTTGATTCCTTTTTTTTGGGAATCTTATTATTGGAAAGAGTATGTAAATTTTTCTTCTTTTTAGTAGTAAGTTAATAGAAAGAAGAATTGGTTGTAGGAAAAAAGTGTCCAATCTTTAGTCTGGTAACTATTGAGCATTTTGGATGATGGCTGTTGGTGGTAATGATCGAATTTTCATAGAAATCAGTGCTTCTTTCATGTTTCTTATGGTAGTAGGAGGCAAGAAGGTTGACAATTTAGTAGTTTCAAAAGTAATAGAATGTAGATCTGGTGAATACCAGGGCAAAATAGGAATAACTGTACCAACTTCATAAGATTATGAGTATTAAATTAATGTACATAAAATGCTTTAGTACAATGCTTGGCACATACTAACATCATCAAAACATGCTTACTGTTTTTTTAATTTTTGTTATTACCATCTCTAGATCCATCCTAAGAATTGGCAGTCTGCAACCCAAACTGCCTCTGAGACTAGCCTAGGCATCCAGAGCCATTTCTAACATTAATGCCATTTTTCAGTTGACTCAAGGCCTTTGCTAGCAGAGGAACCCACCTTGAATTGGGAGGTTTTGTGTGATCTTTTCATTTGGGGCAAGATAGAACAGGGCTCACACTGAAACAGAAACCCTCTAGAGAAAATCTGAATCTCTAGGCAGATTCATTTAACCCCCAAATGAATTCATTTGCTTTCCAAGAAGATCTCTTAAAATAGTTCTCTTACTTCAATTGGAATTGATTATCTCAATTATCTCTTGTTCTAATGAGAGTGAGTTTTGAGGGGAAGAGAGGGAAAAATGATATAGAACTAAAATTTAAAGAATTAATCCATTGAAATATAATAGTAATAAACATATTTCTTGTTTACATAAATAGTATATTAATGTTTCTGGGTTCTGAACCAGATTCTGGCTCCCCCCCCATACTTAGCGTGTGCCTAAAACAACATATTAATGACCCTGCCATAAAAACCAGGGGCATGTTGTTCCTTGACAGAAGGTCATCCCAAAACATTTATTCTAGGTTAGAATTTGATATCTAATGGATCATTTACTTTTGAGTTCTAAGTCATAATTATATAAATGCCTTTACCATGTTTTATGTATGGGGTAGATTACTTTTCAACTTCATAAAAAGAAACAATGAATGATCTAAGGTAGCAATTCTCAAACTTTTTGGTCTTGGTATCCCTTTATAGTCTTAAAAATTACTGATCCCAGAGAGCTTTTGTTTAGATTATTATATTTATCCATTTTTATCTTATTGGAAATTAAAACTGAGACATTTAAGAGTTCATTCATTGAAAGCTAATAGTAGTAAGCACATTTCTTGTTTTCATAAATAACATATTTCTCATGAAAATTATTTTCCAAACCAAAAGAGAGTTAAGTGAGAAGGTAGACATTGTTTTACATTTTTGTAAATGTCTTTAATGACTGACTTAATAGAAGACAGTTGGATTCTCATGTCAGATTCATCATTCAGTCTCTCTTGTTATGTTGTTTTGATTCAAGTATATAAAAAAATTTAGTATCACATAGACATGTAGTAGGAAAAGAGAGGAGTATTTTAATGACCTTTTCAGATAATTGTGGATATTCTTTGATGTTACTCTAAAACTTGATGCAGTTTCTTAAAGGTTAGCTGTAATGTGGAATCTGAAACCATATCAGTGACTATTTCATTCTCTGTTTTTCTAAAACCTGTTGGTTTAGCTTGCATTTTGACTGAATCTTTTCACCCAAGCATGATTTTGTAAGATTGGTCATTTGGAAAGTATTAGTTAAATGAATTATCCAGATCTTCCAAATGTTGATACATTTCATTGTGCAATATAAAAATAAATACATTAATACGGTGAAACCTGTAAGAGCTGGAACTCGACGGAACTACCATGTTTTTCTGAGTCTCGAAAGTTTTCCAAAAAAAAAAGGTTTTCTGCCTTTGACATGGTGCAGTCTTACCACTCTTGTATTGCTCGCTGTAGAAAATATTTAGTGGAAAATATTTGCCTTATCCTTCTCTGGCAGGTTTCTGTCTTACACAAGTTCTGGTTTTTGCAGGTTTTACTATTTGACCACCAAGCTCTTTATAAAACCTTTAAGTATTGGGAAACCGTTAGGCTCATGGTAGATACAAGTTTTCAAAAATTCTAATTTTCACTTAAGACCTCGAATTTTGTTATTGGCAAAAAATACTGATGCAAAAAGGACATGGAGGCAGCATCTTCTAACCTGCTTTTACGAGGGAGAGGCAGACTCACCATCAGCAGCCCAAGGCTTATTCCTCTGAGGACAGACATACTACCACCCTCCAGCCTTTATACCAACTCAGATACCAACAGTACCTCCTATGACACACACTTCTCTGCTGGGTTAAATATTTTGTTTCAGTGACTACACAGCACTCACAAACAATACTCATGATTATGGGGTTTATAGGGAAGTAACAGGCTACAATTCAAGTTGAGGAACATGCATGGGATACAGTTCTTGGATTAGGACAGTATGTCCTCAGGCATGCCTCTCTAGCCTTTGGTCTCTTGGCTTGGCCTCTGTCTGCTCAGGCAAGTGTTACAAAGTTCTTCTAGTTCTGCCTATAGGTGTATCTAGGTGCACCCCACTCAGCCAGCAAGGCTCCTGCCCGAAGGCACTCAGCTTTCTCACTCTGTAGCCCAGCAAGTCTGCCACTCTGTCTTGTGCCTCTTGGTTCCTCAGCCAGTCTTCTCCACTGTCTTTCTGCAAAGGCGATGATCCATTGCAGGGATCTGGGGTGCCAGGACATACTCTACTCCACCTCTTGTACTACTCTTTCTCTCTTTTTTTTTCCCCCTGTGAATTATTTTATTTTTTTATTTATATTTTTGAAGGGTTCCCTCCCCATCTCTTTCCTCCCACTCCTGGTAACCAACAAAGAAAGATCCTTCCATATATAAACCTTTGCTTAATTTTTTTTTAAAATTATTTTTATTTTTGCAGTTGCGAAAGGGCAGGGAGGCCGCATCTTCTGACCTCCTCTAACCACACAAGAGGAAGACAGAATCACTATCAGTAGCCCAAGGCCCATTACTGTGAGGCCAGACATGCTACCTCCCTCCAGCCCTTTCACCAACGCTGACACCACCCGTGCCTCCCCAGCACTTACCACCTTTCTGCTGGGTTCGATAATTCACTGCAGTGGCCACACAGAACTCACAGATTATGGGGTTTATTAGGGAAGCACCAGGTTACAATTCAAGTTCAGGAAAAATGCTCAGTCTCTCTCAGCCCTCTGTCTCTCAGCCAACAGTCTCTCACAGTCTCTCTCCCAACAGTGCATGCCTCTTGGTGTCTCACTCAGCACTACGTGTCTCTTGCGTCTCTTTCCCAGCAGTGCATGTTTCTCAGGACCGCGTGTCTCTTTCAGCAGCACGTCCTTCTCAGTCAGCCGTCAGAGAGACTTCTGCCTCTAGGAGGCCTCCTTTTGAGTCTGGCAGAGTGGCCAAACTAGCCAATCATAACATCAGAATTCTAAGCACATGAGAGACAGCGAACTTCCCAGAACATTACTTTGTGCTGATCCCAACAGAAATACCCCAGGTGGATGATTTTAACAATCAGAAGCTACTCAGTTTCTCACAGCAAATTCCGCCATGGAGTTTACAAAGACTTATGGCTAGAAAAGCCATATCAGGTAATTTACTACACCACAGCAGTGTTTCCTCCCCTCCCCTTCTACCTCTGGTAAGCAACAAAGAAAGTTTCCTTCCATATATAAACCTTTCCATGACTTTCTAAAATAGTGAATTAATACAATTTTGTCCTTCTGTGACTGACTTACTTCACTCAGCATAATGTCCTCCAAGTTCATCCACGTTATGCAGTGTTCTGTAGACTCTACCTATTGTTTAGTGTTGCATAGTATTCCATTGTGTGGTTCCAGAGTTTGGTTATCCATTCTTCTGTTGATGGGCATCTACATTGTTTCCATCTTTTTGCTATTGTACATAGTGCTGCAATGAACATGGGTGTGCATATATCTATTCTTGTCCTGGGTCTCACTTCTTTAGGATTTTGTTGTTGTTGTTAGGTGCTGTCCAGTTGTCTCCAACTCATAGCAACCCTATGCAAATCAGAAAGAAACCCTTTCTGGACCTATGCCAGTCTCATGATCCTTGCTATAACTGAGTCCATCGTTGTAGCCACTGTGTCAATCCATCTCGTTGAGGGCTTCCACTTCTTTGTTGACTCTCCACTTTACCAAGCATGATATACTTCTCCAGAGAATGGTTCCTTCTGACAGCATGACCAAAGTAGGTGAGACCAAGTCTGGCCGTTCTCGCTTCCAAGGAGGATTCCTGCTGCACTTCATCCAGGGCAGATTTTTTTAGTCCTTTTAGCAGATCATTCTTCTTAGCATTCTTCTCCAACACCACAGCTCAAAGGCATCAACTCTTTTTTGGTCTTCCGTGTTCATTGTCCAGCTCTCACATGCATAAGAGGCGATTGAAAATATCATGGCTTGGGTTAGGCACACCTTAGTCTTCAGGTAGACATTTTTGCTCTTTGTCACTTGAAAAAGTTCCTTTGCAGCAGATTTTCCCAATGCAGTATGTCATCTGATGTCTTGACTGCTGCTTCCATTGGTGTTGATTGTTGAACCAAGTAATATGAAATCTTTGACAACTTAAGTCTTTTCTCCATCCACTGTGAAGCTGTTTATTGGATCAGTTGTGAGGATTTTTGTTTTCTTTATATTGAGGTGTAATCCATATTGGTCTTGCAAAATTCTATCATGTGTTCTCCAGCATTATTTCTATCACCGAGGCCATATTTTTCAACTACCAGTAACTCTTCTTTGTTTCCAACTTTTGCATTGCAGTCACCAGTGATAATCACACATCTTGATTGCATGTTCAGTCCATTTCAGACTGCAGAAGTTGGTAGAAGTCTTCA